CTTCGCCTTCGCCGTCGCCTTCTTCGCCCGCTCCAAAGCCGCCGTCTTCTTCGCCTTCACCATCGTCGCCGGCGAAGCGCGCACGAAGCAGCAGCGCTACGGTGGAAGCGAGCGCGGCGGATAAATCTGGAGAAGAGGGAAGGAAATGAGAATGCACTGTTCAAAACCCTCGTCCGGTGCCTTATATAAGGCCGCTTCCGAGTGGCTGACATGTAGGCCCGGGCGATCCTGTCAAATCACGCAACAGTCGCGCGCGATACGTGGCGAAAAAAGGTGGCGCGGAGATCGAGGCGTCCCTGCCTTATCCCGTCCGATTGCTGCGGCCACGCCCCATCCCGCGCGCTTCCCAAAATTCAAATCCCACAAAATCCGCGGGTTGCAGAACAACTCGTCAGGCAGAAGATCTCCTCCACTCTGTCACTCGGAGCTCTCTAAGCGAAAACTTCACCCGACGAATACAAAGAATGGATCAAGGCGACTGAAAAAGAAGTTGGTACCATCACCTAAAGTTCATTGATCCAAGACAAGACATACTCATAGTACGAGAAATGGGTCGGAAGAGTTCTCAACTCCTTCCCCACTCAAACCTCGATCCATTCGGTGGCTAATGATGAAGCTATGTACCTAGGGTAGGGTCATGGACCTGTCCAAACTACCCCACCCAAGGACATATCTAGAAGAAACCACCTGTCAATCGACTCAGGAGTGTTCCACTCGACGGACTCGAGGACACTCGACCATGATACCATCCACTCGACCATGAAGCCAACCACTCGCCAGCCAGGAGATCAAAGTCATTCTGCATGTAACGGTCTGTCATTAAGTAGTCTTTATGGTCTTCATAGCACTTTATGTGGGCGTTACCAGTAACCCCCAGTCTTAATGTACTTTAAACCCTGCATAACTGAGGGCTGGAGGGGTCTGGCAAACTCTATATAAGCCACCCCCTCCTGAGTGTAAAGGGTTCGCACCCCTATAACTCAAACACATATAATCCAGTCGACCGCCTCCGGGCTCCGAGACGTAGGGCTGTTACTTCATCCGAGAAGGGCCTGAATTCGTAAAACTCTTGCGTATACAACTACTCCATAGCTAGGATCTTGCCTCTCCATTAGTACCCCTCTACACTACTGTCAGACTTAGAACCACGACAGCGACCGCGGGAGGGAATAGAGGAGAGTCAAGGGAGGCACCAGAAGGGGACGCAGTCACCGCCCTAGGTGCCAACCCATCAGAGACGTAGTTGATGATGACGCAGCGGAGAAGACGACGGAAGCGCAAGACTTCAAATTCAGTCGTAATCGTCTGCTTCACTCCCGCTACGACTGAGGGGGAATGTTAGAAGTATAATTATGTTTAAGCTAGAGATTAGGAGTTAGAGATAGAATAGGGTTAAATTGTGTACGACTTGCCCTCTACTCCAAGTCTCTCTCCCTCATATTGTACTACTATATATACCTCTATGAGGGTCAGATCAATACAACAACACAAATATTCAATCATCTCATAATTTCTACATGGTATTAGAGCGGTTTGTCCAACGACGCCGATCCTAGGACCTTCCACCACTTCCGCAGCATGCCCCCCCCCCCCGAGGAGATTAATCTCCTCTCCCCGAGGGCGCGGCACCTGATCGATCAAAGATTGAATCGGTTCCATAGATTAGATATTTTTTAATTTCCAAATTTCGTAGTAGATTGATTTTTCTTAGCCACAAAATAAACCAACGATCTTCAAATCCGGTGATAATTAATGCGAGATCCATCGTCGTGCGCCTCTAGCGGATCTACATCGACACACGGCCAGCCGGCGGCACTCCGATCAGCCATAGCCATCTTCTCCAGCAAAGACGTGTCGCCCTGATCACGGGAGGGTGATACTCGGCTCCCTGCGATCGGATGTACGTCGACAGCAAACGCGTGGCTGCACGACACGTTCGGAGCGGTGGCCGGATCCAACCCGATCTCTGCCCGGCTGATACGCACCGAACCAAGCGCAACTCCCGGCTCCATCAACATCCATGTGGCGAAACTCGAAGCAACCAGCAGCCCTGGTATGTGCATGCACTCTGATGAAACTTTGGTCACGTCTACGCGTACCCGTCTACAGACGCACGAAGCCACAAATTTGGGAGCACCGGCGGCTTCGATTGATCGGATCTCCGATCTCGGCCGTGCCTCCGGTCCATCGTACATGGATGGTCTCTACATCGACTTCTTCTGTTTTGAGACTACACCAACAACGATCTGCAACGCGCCGGCAAACTGCACCGAGCGATCCCGATCTGCATCGACTACAATGCACGCGCACGGACGCGATCTTCAACAGGCTGACTCCATCAGCCACCTGCGCGCCGACATGGCATTTACATCAAGCTGGACAACTACACCGACCGATCTACACTGCATCAAGGTAAACTGCACCAGGTCGAACCATGACACCAAGCTGACTACGAGTCAAGATCATCATCGAGATACACAAGAAGCGACATCCGCATCATCCACACGCCAGGCCGGTGTGGAATGAGATGCAATCTTCATCGACTTCTTCGGCACGACATGGCATCGACACTTCGTCGCCGCGAGGGACGCCTTCAAGCGACACATTACCGTCGACACGCCGCTGCAACACCATCGCCGATACTTCATCGCCAAGGTCTTCATCAACGTGGTCTTCACCAGCATCTTCGTCAAGACACCGCCGCTGTCTTGTCCACAAGATGGACACCTAGCATCCTCTGACAGACTTTTCTGCAAGACGCGACCACGACGACGACATAGTCCGTGTCATCCACGACGGCACGACTGCATCGACACGTCGTCACTACAGTGACAACCCTACACGGCCACATGGTTCTGGCAAAACCGATGTGTGCACGATGGGTTTCCTCCGGTCTTGGCAAAACCGGTGGACTCATCGCCGACGGCACCCTCTGACATACGCAAGGTGCATTGTCCACGTCTGCAGCTCTGTCATTGCGCATTTTTTTGTGCCTCCGGCTTTGTGCGGCTTCATCATCGACGACGACTACACCATCGACTACGGCTACATCACCATAATCGGCTACCTCGACATCGACATTAATGGCTTGGTCTGCAACAACACATCAGCAACAACTCCAGTCAACAGCGTCCGCGTCGTCACCAGCGTCCACGCCACTCCCGACCGCGGGAGGGAATATAGGAGAGTCAAGGGAGGCACCAGAAGGGGACGCAGTCACCGCCCTAGGTGCCAACCCATCAGAGACGTAGTTGATGATGACGCAGTGGAGAAGACGACAGAAGCGCAAGACTTCAAATTCAGTCGTAATCGTCCGCTTCACTCCCGCTACGACTGAGGGGGAATGTTAGAAGTATAATTATGTTTAAGTTAGAGATTAGGGGTTAGGGATAGAATAGGGTTAAATTGTGTACGACTTGCCCTCTACTCCAAGTCTCTCTCCCTCATATTGTACTACTATATATACCTCTACGAGGGTCAGATCAGTACAACAACACAAATATTCAATCATCTCATAATTTCTACAACCTGGACACTGAGAAGCAAGCCAAGATGTTCGAGTTAGAGGCGGAGAAGCAAGCCAAGATGCTAGAGATCGAGGCCGCCAACGCCAAGACCAAGGC